TTAATGTCCTGGTCTTCAATAAGCATATATTCTAGCAGAAAAGTTTGATGTAACTTAGGCTTTTAATTCTGGTCAGTGTAGCATGAAATGCTAGTTATAGGAAAATAAAATATTGATTATGATCAAGAGAAATTAAAGAAAATGTCTTTGAAAGTTTGGTATTTAAGATCAAATTTAAAAGGTGGGTATTTCACTGATTAATGATCTCTAGGTTATTGCAATGTCATCTCATTTCTTGGTACACAAAGGCACAGAAAAAGGATTTCAATCTGTATATAGGCAATGGTGAGCTGTCTATTGCAATTTGAAAATGTATGATAAAAGTATACATAAAATCATGCCATGGAATAGAAAACATAGTTTAAAGTAGCTATATTATCCAAATAATGCTATGAATCAGTTAAACACAGACCATTATCTCTAGTTTGTCAATGAGGAAACATATAAGTAAAGAGTTTCACCATTACCTCTCTTGCAATACTTGATTAAGCCATCTATGGAAGTTTTTCTCCAGAACTGAAGGCAGCGATAATAATACTCAGAAAGGGAAAATAAAACCAAGTGGAAATACTAAAGTCTAAAACCAGGACTATATCTGTTTCTTTCCTCGCTTAATCTCGTTATGCCCTTGTCCCAGGATTCAGAGAAACAAAGGAGGGCCCATCAACTGCCTTATTCTACCACATCAGCAGATCCATAAGAACTTGTGAACTGTAACTGTACCTGTGAACAGTGAACATTAGTGCATGAAGCACATCTACTCTTTCAATTATCTCTTCTATATCCTGTGAAAGTTGCTCTCGTATACAACCCTAACTGAAACCACATAGGGAAGGGGCTTCTAGGAAAGTAATCTGTTTAACTTAGTTAACTTGTACAGTCATCATGATTGTAGAGACTCTGGATACTGTTATATTCCTCTGAAGAGTAATTTTTGTCTTAGTAGGAAATTAATATGGCAGAACTTCAGCTTTACATCCTATATCCTGGTATATGGATTTTTACTAGAATCAACATTCCTTTTTTTTTTTTTTTTTGGTCACCTGATGTTCTGGAATCAGCAAGACCCATGCTTTGTCTATAGACATATTTTATATGAATCCTTGTTTTATCTCCTTTTTTTTTTTGCTGAATATCCCACAGTATCTTTAATTGTGCCATATCGACACTAAACATTGTCCCCTAACACTTGAGACCATTAAAACTGTAGCTTTCTGTTACCTAGTACATAACTTTTGGAAATGTCGTGATTTAAAAGCAGCTCTAAACAGTCACAATTTCTGTCTTTAAGGTCATGTTTATAAGGTTGAATGTTTGTGTATCCTAAAAAGATATATTTTGAAGCTATGACCTCTAAAATATGATATTCAGAGGAGGGACCTTCATTAGGCAGTTAAGTTTAGATAGTATCATGGAGAGTTTTACCCCCATGATAGGATCTATGTCTTTACAATAAAAAGTAAGACCAGAGCTAAATATCTGCTCAAGAGTATACAAAAAAGAGATACATAAATACCCGAAGAGATGGTGGACAGCTACTGGCAAAGAGAAGAGACTTCAGAGGGAAATCTGCCTTGCTCCTAAACTTCAAAATCTCCAAAATTATGAGAAATGAGTCTTTTGTTTGAGCCATTCCATCTTTGTTATCATTTGTTATCCATGCTTTGTTAAGGTAGTTCAAGTAGACTAAGACAAGTTGTCTCCACTCCAGTTTCTGTCTGCTTTGGTTATTGTCTAGTGCTTGCCAAATATCATACTGTGTTTTAATATTTTTTTGTGCTAAATATGTAATTTTTATCTCTGTTAGTATGATTGAGCTATTTCACCATTATCAGAAATAAGAGGTTATTTTTCTAAATAAAAATACATTATTCATTTAAAAAATCATGTTCACAAATGTATGTGATACACAATGAATATTAAAATGTCTGAATAAGTCTATTTATATATGCATAGAAACAAAGATCTGAAGGCTCTGGAACAAAATATTTAAAGGTAGTACTACAGTGGTAAGCTTGTGAGTGTTTTTTTTCTATTTGCTCTTTATATTTTCTATGTTTTCATATACTGACTATGAAATATTGTGTAGTATTACAAAGAAATATAGGACAAACTGCAAAAAAGAAAGCATATTTAAGAAAAACATAATACTGATGTGTCTGCTCTTATTTGCAATACCTTTACCTTGATTTAAGACTAGCCAAATCAATTTAAGAACTTTATCTTTGCTTTTAATTTATATCTCTTTAGAGACTTCATTCAGTACTGAAAGCTAACAATTAGCTCTAAAGTCAGCAATTATTTTGTAGTTACTGGATGTTAGAATCAATCTAAATCTTTTATTTTGTAATGGTGAAAATATGTGTTTATATAAATTAAATAATCTTTCTCAAGTCAGTTTTGTGTAGCAATGTATATTAACATTTTTATCTCCTTAATAAATAAAATTATCATTTTCAAGATAAATGATTCATTAATATTCTTTCTTTCGCTTTTTCCTTTTTCTTCCAATTTTCTTTTTCTTCCTCCTTTTTTTTCTTTCTTCCATCTTTCCCCCCAATATTTTCTACCTTTATTTCAAGTACTCTGCTATACTCAGGAAACCCAGAGTTGAATGAACCCTGGCCTCTCCAGGGCTCAGACAAGTGGACAAGCCACTGCCTCATGGAGTGATGACCTCTGAGATGGGGGTATACAGAGGAGGCTGGAGAAAGGGGAGCAGAGGCACTGAGCACCTCTAGAAAATCAGGAATAAAGGCTTACTGTTTTTCTGAGGCTTTATAAGAAAAGGAATGAAGAGCACATTCAGGTAGTCTATTCTCTTTCTCTCTTATACATTCATTATAACTTAGGAGTTACCATTGGAAGTCCTCTTTTGGAAGGCAGAGACAGAGAACTGTTTTATATGAAGTAACAGCTTTTAGTATAGTTAAAATTTATGTTATAGAGTTTTTTTTCTGATTACTTCTAAAAGTATTAAAAGTACCTCTCTCTATATATAAAAGCTTGATTCAGTCATAATTAAGAAAATAGTGCCAGAATCATTCTTAACTTACAGTCCACCTATGTGACAGCTGTAGGAAATGGGTGGCTTTTAGATGGCAAGATGCTGGTAAGTATCTAAGTGACTTCAGTATTAGCACTTGGATAAAGCCTCATTTAAAGAGACATAAAAATAAAAGTTTTGCACAGTAGTTTTAAGCCACTTTTGATGAAGCTGATTGATCTCCTACATTAAGCAGAGAAAACTCAAGTTCCCCAGGGAAACACATAACATGAATACAAAACTAGCAGATATTACTTACACTGTGTCTATGGGTCCTGCATATTTTCTTTCTTTCACAGTTCATATGATGATCTTTGAAAACATAGCGCCTTCATGCTATTTTGAAATAAAACTCCTCTCTGAATTTGCAGAGTAAAGTGTACAAGATAACAAACACATTTAGCCTCTACATGAACCCAACACATTAGATGTGATGGGTGCTCTAAAACCAGTGATGGAAAGACCTTGGGAATTTGGGAAGGTTGTACAAGTTTTCACACTTCATTTGTATTTAATATAAAGTATTTGATTCAACACAATGGGGTTCAAAATCTCGTAGGAACAGCAAATTAGCACATGCAGCAACATCTCAATGCCATAGAAGCTAACAGTTGTTGGGTAGATAAATTTTTGTTGTTAAACATTAAAATAGTTTTTTTCTTCCATAACTCACTGTGGAGATCCAAGTGGAAACATAAATTTATAATATTGTGGATTTTGAAAAGAGAATGTCAAAGATTAATTACTTCTAAGAGAACAGCACAGAGCTTTTTACATGATTCACACTGACAGGGAAAAGATTTTGTTTTGTAATTTGAAAGTCCCTAAAGTCAGGAGAAAACAAAAAAACTTGAAAAATAGTTATCATCCTATTTGTTTTTTAAAGAATATTTATTTAGATGGGAGTAAATATATATATATGGGCATATCTTTTATATCCAAATGGATTCTTAAGTTAATATATGGAAAAAGTGAACTAATTCAATTTTCATTACAGAAATGTGTAAATTCAGCAAATATTGGATTCTCTGTCGTGTGGCCTACCATGCTGCCAATATCTCAAAAGGTAAACCTGATAAAAGTCTCACTCTGCCAAATTTCTGGACTAACAACAGAAAAAAGTTATGTTTATTTCAGAATCTTGGCACTCCTCGTGTCTTCAGGAACTAGGAACTAGGTAAAATGTGGAAGGGATCAGATATGAAATAAGAATTTGTCCTCAATTCCAGACAAGGAAATTTATTCTCAGAGTAACTCCTTCTTTGACATCGCTTGTTCTCCCAACATGGGGACAAGCTTGCTGTGATGCAACAAGCTCCCGGTCCTGGTTCATATCCAAATATTTGTCTTGACATTGTGATCTGACCTTTCAGGGATTTCTGAGTGTTCTTGGGTCAAGTCCGGATCAGTTTATGAAGAAAGTAGGTATTGAGTGAACTACTAGAGGGAGATAGATAAGAGATCTCCACACCCCTCAGTGCAATGTTGGTGAAAGCACAGTTCATTCAGAGATATAACCTGAATTTTCAAATGTCTCTCAATACTCAATACAGGCTGGGGGCAAAGTGGGAGGCAGAGCCCAAATAGGAAAGGCTAATTAGTGATCACTTGGACATGGCTCCTTCATGAGTTTGGGAGAATGTTTTGATGGGGGAACAAAACAAAATATAAAGAAAAAGAAAAATTAGAGCAGGTGGACTGATTAAGAGGTCAGTGTGGCTGAAGCTCAACCGCTTGTCCCATCACTATACTCTTATGGCTTTAGGCAATTTCATAAGGGTTCTAATTCCAGACTTTTATTCTCTATGTATATACTTGATATCCTTATATCCCCCATTTTATATGATTATTATAAAGTTAAAAATGAAATAACAATGGTAATAATAAAACTGGACTACTATTTAATGAATATACACTTAACAAGGTTATCACAATCTCTGGCAAATATTACTATCTTTAACATCATCATTTTTATTAGGGTGCTTCTTTGATTTTCATAGCAGCTCTGCTTTTATCTTCGTAATGCTGGTTAGATGAGTCTCCTTTATTCTTCAGACCTTTGTTTCTTCATCCAAAAAATGTCAGGGATAGATCAAATACATCCCAAGCCCCTGAATGCCCAACAATCTGTAACTCTTCTGAGAGTAGCCATTTATTTATACATATTCTCACAGAGCTCCAGCCTGGAAGATATTATGCAGGGGATAGAATTGGAAAAATCCAGGAAAATAATTCAGAAAGAACATAATGATAGAAAGAGACCACAAAATTCCCACCTATTTTCAAAGTCACTTATGCATTCCCCATGAGACTGCCCAAAATACAATTTAGAAAGACACTGAATTGGATTCAGAAAGTTGAGTGTTTTATGAGTTTTTGTCTCTAAGTGACATATGCCTTTCTGCAAAATCAGAAAATAGATTCGTTCAGTGCAGGGAGTGGAGTATTACTGATGTAATTGGGTAAGGCTGGCAAAATGTGTTCAGTTTTAGTTGACGACACTGAATAAATCACTTGTCAGGAATAAATTGAGTATTCATGGAAACTTCAGTGTACCTATGAACACAGACCAGCAGAGAAATTTGAGAGCTTGATTATATTTTCTCATATGGATTCAAAAGCATTATGGAAATGGACTTAAATACAGAGGAAAATGCAACTGTGGTTCAGTTTAAAGACAACAGCTTCCCTCTAAAGATGAAAAGGAATCCCAGTGGAACCATTCATATACCTGAACTGTGTGCCATGATGTGACACGAAAGTGCACAGTAGACCTTGTTTCTTTGGATCTCACATTAATCCTACTTTAAGAAATTTGTAACCAGAGTGGAAGGTGCTGCCACATGAAATATAGGGGAGCTTTAAAATCTGTCAATCTCTTTAGGGGCAACTAATAACACTGGCTAGCTAACTGCATTGAATTACTAAGCTTACATTTGAAACAATGACCACACTTTTCAAATCCTACAATATGACCCAAATCTCAAAGATGAATAAATGTATATACCAAAACATTAAGAAAATTTCTATTTTTTTCTTGCTTAAAGTGCAGAAATCTCAATACATTTGATTAAGTGCATCCTATAAATGAGGATATGGTGCTCAAAATTGTATATTCACAGACTCCAAGCAAAGAGAACCAAGGATGAACTGTATCTTTTGACTAACACAGCAGTTGTCTACTCAGAAAACTAAATGTGCCCCTAAAATATTTGTATGAATCCCTAGTGTGCAGTGCAGGCACCATAATTGTGGTCAAGGTTTATGGATCCATGCCAAACATTTTAAAATTTCAATCACCATAATTATTATTAAAAGAGAAGATCAGGATTCTAGCTATCTCAAAGAATTCCAATTTATATTGTTCTCTTCATGGAGAACAATCTTTGGAGTTTATATCTGATTTCCTCAGGGCTGGACCATTGCCTCTATGGAAAACATGCCGATAGATGCTTTAAAATTTGAATTCTTGAGCAACAACAGGATTTTCTTTCTAATTTTCAGTGTCTGAAATGGGAAAACTAGGAGTTATGAAGTACAAATACTTCACATATTCAGGATTATCACTTGTTCGTGACTTTGCTCTGATCCATTTGCCTCATTTTGTGTTGGGTAAATTCAAACACACTAAGTAAAATTCAAACACACTAAGCAATGCACATGAAAGTTCTTTGTCAGGCATAAAGTATAAAAGAATAGCAAAGTAAGCTTTTTACTTGCATGTGACCTCATAGATTCAAATCTAAATTCCATTGCTTAAAAGCAGTAGTATTGAGGAATTTTCTCAGTTCTCAGGTTTATGAACAGAAGTAATAATATCCCATACTTCTGAGCATCATGAAGTTGATTCAGAGCAAACTCTAATTAAAATCATTAGAAATCATGTGGCAGAGGCTAAGTGCTAAATACATTTTAATTATTTTTATTTTGATATCAATGATTATAGAAATGTGATTTTTCTCCTTTTGTTCTTTCCCTTTTAAACTCCCAATTTGCATTAATTTGTTCTTATTTAATTAAAAATATTATATTCCTGTTCTGCAATCCTTTTATACCAATCTATGGAATAGGTATGTCCTGTGTCTTTCAAGTTGTCTGTGACTAAAGCCTACTGTGGATATTTGGGGAGATTTACAGATGTCTGACTATAGGAAACATGTTTAATGCCTTGAACTTTGTCTTAACTAAATAGACAAATTGATATATTAAGTGTTGTTAATATTTTAGGACAGGCTTTCCATTTTGTTTCTATTCCAACAATATTCACTAAGCAGGCAATATGCTGGTCACAGTGTCTGAAGAGATGAACAAGACTGGTGCATTTCCTGCAATTACTAGGCTTGTATTTTGCTATAAACCCCAGAGCACTAAATCCCAGACACACACCCAGTTCAAGGCAGGCCCATCTCTGAAGTGGATTATCTCCACTTCTTCTATTCTGCTTCTTTCTCTCTTAACTGATTTCCTTTAACTTATTAAAACACTTACTATGGCAATTTGCACTGCAGGGTCTATTTCTGGAGAATATAACCTAAGAAAATGTCCAAAAGGAAAAGCTGAACAAATTTATGGATATAAAATAACTGATTCCTGAGTCAAAGTGACAGCAGATTTTTCACCTTAGTGATTTATGAAATTCCTTTGGTTCTGCATTACTAATCAAAGTAAAAGGTTGAGAGGTTAACATCAGATCTAGGACCAAAGTTACAAGTCTCAGAAATAAATAGGCTCCAGAAAAGTAGCACACACATAGAGAAGGGGTGTTCTGATGTTGGCAGACTCCCATTTTCATACTCTTCAGTTAAGAGAAGACACTGACATTACAATAATAATAGCAAAAATGGTTAACATTATGGAACTTACAATGGCATTGATTTTTCATAGACACTTTTTAAGTCACTTTGACCTCTTAGACTCACCAGACTCATTTGATAAATGGAAAACCTGAGATATAAACATATAAAGTTGCATTGCTAGTAATTGGTGAAGAAGAGATTTGAGCACAGATAATCTGGCTCCAAAGAATCCACTCCTATTCCTACAAAGTACAGCCTTTCATGTACTGAGATAAGGGGATGATAGTCAAGATGAGGGTGATCACTACTGAAACAGCAGCAGCAGTTCTATGTATATTGTGTCGGGAAGACTGGGCACTGTTCTGTAGGCTTTGCAGGTATTATCATATCCAAACCCCATAAAGAACTAGATGACAGTATTATAGTCATTTGAAGAACCTGAAATAGAGAGAGTTTAAGTGAGTTACACAAAGTCACAGTTAGATAGAAGCAGTCAGGATGAAAGTAAAATATATGACATTCTCAACAGAGAGAGATGGGACATTTTAATGCTGAGCTACTTACTTTACTCTTTGTTTTGTAGTGTCTAAATTATTTCAGAGTTAGGGAAATTTTTTACGGCTTTTATTAACTACCAAAGCAAAGAAAAATATTCTACATTAAAAAATCATTTTATTTTTATTGTGAAGATTTCCCTTTATGCTCTCCCAGTTTATAGTTTTATTATTTATATTTAAGTTTATGATGTGTTTAAAAATTTTCATATGGTATGAGTTAGAAGTGGAAGTTCATGTTTTTTTTCCTGGTGTGATTATTCAGTAGTCCAGTACTATTTGTTGAAATTTCATGTTTCTCCATGGAATTTCCTTGCATATGATATGTAAGTCTATTGCTATATCCTATTTCACTGGTACTCTATTTTTATTATGGTGGCTTTAGAGTGGGCCATGGAATAAATAGAATATCTACACCAAATTTGATCTTAATTTTCAATTTCTTTGTTACACTAAGTTCTTTACATTTTTATGTGCATTTTAGAAACAGCTTTTTCTTCTTTTTACCTTTCACTCATTTATTTATTATTTTTAATTGGTGCTTTATAGATATACATAAAAGTGGAATTCACTGTGGTATATTTATACATGCATGTAACATAATTCCACATTTCCTCCCTTATCCCAATCTTTCTCCTCCTCCTTTTTTCTCTCCCTCAGTCTCTTTCTCTCTTCTTCTTCTACTCCACCGAGCTTCTCTTTATTGAAATTATATCTGACACCCCACTTCACTTATTTTGCTCTAGCTTCCACGTATGAAAGAAAACATCCAAACCTTGATTTTCTGTACCTCACTTATCTATTTTGGAAATTTCTTTAAAATGGTCCAATTCTGATGATGAGTGAGATCGCATTGAAATTGTGAATCAATTTGGGAAGAATGAAAATCATAATACTTTTGATTTTTCTCTCTATACACTTGTATATCACTCCATTTATTTAAGTTTATTATAACTTTTATCAAAATTAGTATGTTGTAATTTGCACATCCCTTATTGACTTTATGACTAAGCAATTTATAATTTTTGATTCATCTGTTTTGTTAAAATTGGCCCATTTGGACCGAACCCAGATCACTAGCAACTAAATGCATTTCTTTTTCTTTTTTTAGGTTATAAGAAGCTTAGTCTTCAAAATTCAATGCCGTATCTCAGCATTTCTTTAAGGAAAGGACAGTGGTTGGTGACAGAGAGAGGAGGGCACATCTATCCCTTCCCCATGCTTAGGATTATTTTTTTTTCAGTTACTGACAATTGTGACAATAGAAACAAAAAGTAACTACCACAATATGGTACATAGTCTAAATATTCACATTTTCGTACAAAAAGCATTTACATTAAAAAATGTGACTTTCCCTAGATACAATTTAATAAGAAAAGTTTAAAGCATCCATTTTTGTGATTGTTCTATTCCACATTAGATTTAAGCCATCAAGAAGGCTTTAAATATAGCCCACCAAGAATAAAGAAAATATATTTGGTGATTTTCAAGTAATAGAATCAAAATATTAAATTGTTTTGAAGATCATCCAATAGAAAGTAATTTTTGATGTCTCAGCCCTTGATGAGGACAACAATTTCCTCAAGAAATTGAAGTCTCCAATAACTCATCCTGGAGCCAAATCTAATTTCAATACAAGTGTACTCAGAGCCTTATGGCAACCTGAATAAGGTCTGACTGTGCAGAAGAAAGGGCACAGTTGTCAGTGTTATCTCAGTGATGAGCACAACCTTTAATAAGTGCACCTCTATGAGAGCTTTGTGGAAAGGGTAAGATTTTTTACAATTGAAAGAAAGAAAACATCTCCTTGAATGTGTCCTTACATTGAAGGAC